TACTATAAACTGCAAAGATAGGGGGCATCTACCACCCAGTCTGGTATCAGAGCAGCTATCCTATCAGCATGAGCCAGCAGGGACTGGCCAGAGTAAACTGTGTTCTTCTCTCCCCAGTAGGCACAAAGAATGATTTTAAATGATTGCAATGCCTTCTTGTACTCAAAAAGTTAGAATACAACAACTCCCTGAAGGGGGAAAAATCTGAAGTTTCATAAGACAACAGCCAGTAAAAGCCCCATTAAGATCCTCTCTAAACTATCCTCATTTAAGTGGGGAGACAAATTAGCCCCCACTGGCATTTGTATTTAGAATGGGCTGGGAGAGAGGAAGAGCCTACATTTGGACACTTAAGGTCTCTGATATACCCACACACAAATCATTTCAGGGCCAGGTTGTCATCCTGCATCTTCTGCTCTGCCTTTTAAATGGATGGGACCCCAACACCCCATTCTCCTCAGGGTAAAGAGTAAGAGTGGGAGGTTCATGACAAACAAAGAATGGTGACTTCCTTTTCCCCCTACTAAGGACAGATGTAGTAAAAATAATTGCATTACAATGTTCACTTACTTTAAAATACCAAACTTCAAACAGGTAGACTGAACGTTTGACAGTCCCCAAATCTACACAAAGATGTGTCTATTAAAAGAACATGGAAATGAATCAATTAAAGAAAGGCCGAGTGTGTGACTGATTCCATTCACATGTGCTTTCATTTTTAAAGCTACATTTATTTAGTGATTGCATCCTTATAAAGAAAAATCTGGATAACGGGCAGTTCTAATTTTTTTTCATCTACCAAGTCACTGTTTCAAACAAAAAAATAGATTTACAGTAACTAAAGAACACACAAATCACATACAAAAAAAAAAAAAGCCAGCTATTTTATCCTTTCAATGTGGCTAGCAAGGCTCCTTTGTGTCTACAAATTTCCCTGGGTGGTGCTGTTGCCAAGAAATTCTAATTCATGACAAGGTTTTCTGCAAATTGGGGACAGAGGCAAAACTGCAGATGGATGGACCCCACAGTTTGCTTTGTCTTTCTGGCTGAGACAGCACCTGGCTGTTCAGGCCTGTAGAAGGCAGTGCAAAGGCAAGATCATCACATAAAAGGAGAAGCAATGTGGCTCACAGACCAAATTCCATTCCTGGTACCAGAACATTGTTCTTGGAATGCAACCATTTCTGTAGGTTTTCCCCTAGAGATGCTTTGTACCAAAGGCCCTCATAAAAAGTGTTTCAGGGTGCCTGAAACCAAGGTGAAATTGCAGTGTTATGGGGACACTTTAGTCCTTACAGTAGCCAAGTACGCCATTAGTTTAAAACAATGGGGGGATGGGGGAGGAAGGAGGAATGTTCTATGATTTATTTATTTGTTTCCAGTAGCAATGGAAAATTTTCTCCGAGCAAAAACGAGGCCTGAAACTGACCCCATCTGCCAATTATGAATCAGCATTAACAACGACCATAATTCCATAACAGTTTTCAAGTAAACATGCCATGCTCCTCAATGACATGCAGCTAAGTCCAAATAAGACTTAGAACATCATTACTTGACCTGTACTCATGAAACAGCAGACGAGATATAAAGAATATATAAAAATTCTCAAAGTCTTTGCATTTTTCTAGAAGAAAATAACTAAGAGTATGTATTGTATCAAATCCTTTTTTATTTTCCAAGTCATCAGTGAGTCCCAAAAAATCACAATTTCTATTGGCAACAAAAGTCATGAATGGATTTCCTTCAATCCATCATAAAGTGGTACCCCATAAGCTACTCCGGCTTCCGTCCTACCCTTGACTTTTCGTACTTTTGCTCAGGCAGCTCTTGGAAAATTTCCTGCAAGTTTTCAAAGCGCTCAGGGCTGGTAGCCTTAAGAGTTGTGCGTCAGCTGAATTCCATAAAATAATAGACCACATAAGCACAGTGTAATTTACAGTTATACGACAGGCAGAGATGATGTTACTTGGGCCAAGTGCTTAAGTATGCAGTCAGAGCTCAGGAATGGAGAGCTGTTAATGTGGGAAGTCCATTTGGATTTTTAAATTATACCAGCAACGATTTTCAGAGTTGGAGCTATAAGGCTAAGGCATCAATGTCTGAAAATCCAATGTCAAAATGATGATCTCCATGTCAGAGGGTGGCCCTGTCACAGTAAGCGACTTTGTCATAGGCTCACTGACTAGTAGGACAATTATCCCATACCATAAGGTGAAAATAAAATCCCCAAATAGTCCATCCTCAATTTTCAAATGCACAGATGTTCTTGGGTTTATCATCCAAGCCACTCTTTCTCTAGAAACCAAATAAGATTATCAGAATTTCCGTATTTCGCTTATCTCCCCGAGGCCAGGTACATTGCTCACTTTAAGAGAACATCTAATAATTACTCCTCATTTGACCTCTAAAATCTGATTACCCCAGAGTATCAGGAAACTTCCTCCTGCCTGGGGTTCTTTGTAGCAACCTTCTTGAGCTGTTTTTAAGCAAGGAAGTCTCAATATTTCATCATCTGAGGGTTGATTTGGAACTAACAGTTGCATATAACCATCACCATCCCTTACACTCAGAAACGGCAACGGGGTTCAGGGAGGGGGAGAAAAGAAGGGATAGAGGTTAGAGGTTTTGTCATCAGTGTAAACATAGGGTCTTAGTCACCTTTATGAAAAGCAGTTATGACTACAAAGTCCAGAGCATAAAGCTCCTCAGAGTGACATTTTGTTTATAAGTGCTTCTCCACAAGTTGTGTTTCAGTATGAGCACGCCTCTGAAATAACTTGGCGAGGGGTTTTAAGGTGAGAGTGGTTGCAGTTGGAGAGGGCTACGGCAAGAAATGGGGGGATTCTGAGGGGTGAAAATTCCTTTGCCTGAAGATAGAAACTAAGCTTGAGGTTTCTTGATGGGGGGAAGAGATGGATGGGGAGGAGGAGGAGGGGAGAAGGAAGAGCAGAGATGGCTTCTTAGGAAACAATAGATCTAAAACATCCTCTAATTGTCAAACCAATGATGTTCCTTTGTAGATCTAGAGTTTCTCCTGGATGATTTAGCCAGATCCAGAAAAGCAGGTTTCCCCTGGAGAGGCCTTCCCCCAAATCAGGCTTTACTACTGTGAAAACCTGAACCAAAACAAAGTTGTGTGATTCATCAGGAGAGAACGTTGTAACAAATAAAGCCAACTTTCTTCCCTCCAACACTGCTTAACAGTTAGTCACAAACAAGGGCTGCCTTGGGCAGGCTGACTAAATCAACAGATTCCCGTCCCTAACCTGTCTAGACAGTTGTTAATATGCAACCGATTCTACACCAGTGGGCTGACAGTGTGAAATGAAAGCTATTTCAGAAAATGAAATTCTGGCAACATTTTCGTTTAATTAGCATGTGAACATGTGAAATAAAAGGAGGAAAAAGATCTAGTGAGACCCTGCATGAGATAGTCTTGTTAAAGATAGGGGTAAGGATGCATTGAAGAAATGCCTTATGCTAAAAATGTGTGAACTGTGTGTGTGTTTACAGAGTCACAAGTATCTGCCAGCATCTTTGGACAGGAATGCATGCGTGGACACACAGACACCAAAGGCCAATACCTGCAGGGAAACTCACAGCCTCTGATCAGGGGAGAACAACAACTAGTAACAGTGGTACAGGCAGAGGATAGGTTTGCCACTGGGCTCCTTATATTAAAAGCCAAACTACTCTTGCTAGAGCAGCAACTGTTACATCTCTGCCTCAAGCTGGCAAATCCTGCTTTGGATCCCGGGCAGAGGAAATTCAGCCGTTCATTAGCCTTAACAAGCTCCTGTCACTGAGCGGAGAAGTTCCATGAGCAGCCACACACAGAGCCTCTCACAGCCCTCCCCAAGGGCAAGCGGGTTTCTCCAGGACCGACTGTACAAATTCACACTTCCTATGTGCAAATCCGGACTGTCTTCTTGGACTTTCCATGGTGCACACTGTAGAATTTTTAAATACCCGTGCCCCCCCCGCCCCCACCCACCGTCCTTCCTGCAGAATGTCCCCCAGCAGCTCCTAATCGCTGCTGAAAAAAAAAAAAACACTGTTTCCGCAGCAGACCCAGCACTTTCCACTGACCAGCACTTTCTTTATTCCACTTCACAAAGCCCAGCGAACTTGTCACCAGCCGGGCTTCATCCTTGCTGGGACGCCTAGCCAACTTGACATCCATGCCCTTCAGCATCCCAGGAGTTTCTTAACTAGTCCTCTAAGACAAAGTCAGAGGCAGGGAAGCACACACCACCCTTTGTCCAAGGTTGTGCTGTCTAACTGGAAAGGGACCTCAAACAAAAAAGAGAAACAAGGACACACACAGAGGGTGTTTTCTTTCTGGAGGCATTACACTGGGGAAACCGACAATGCATTGTCAGCCTAAGACATATATCTTCCTGTCCTACTTGAGTATCATCTTTTGTCACTGGGCTCTTCTCCCTTTTGCCTACCTTCTAATCTCAAAATCAAGCTCCTATTCTCTATTGACATTTGCTAATTACTGAGAAAACACTCCGCTTTGCTCCTTCCCCCACCCCCCCATCTGACGGTCGTAAGCACCAGTTGAAACAGATGAACCTGATTTAAGGTACCAAGCAGGTAGGGCTCATGCATGTAGGAACGTGGTATCCTGTCAGCGATATCGCTCATAAAGCCCCAAGCCACCTTCCCACCCGGCTCCTCCGAACCCCAGAAGTTCAGCAGGTCTCTGACGGGGGACAGTGAGCCCGACAACGTGTGCGCAAGGATGTGTTGTTGGTGACTGGAACGCAGGCAGCTTGGACCGGCTGCTCAGCTCGGCACACTAAGAGGTTAGGGGTGGGTGGAGAGGTAAGCGCATATGACTGTTTCGGAAAACATTTTTTAAAACATACAGCCAAAAAGGGGGGAGGAAAATCAAACAAACAAACAAAAATTCAACCCAAAGCCCACACCAACGCAGCCCCTGCGTCTCCGCCGCCACCACACGATCTACACAAGTAATTTAAATCATTCACCTGCTGCCAGGTCTCCTCCAGGGATGGCAAAGCTGAGAAGTAGCCGGTGTCGTGGACAAGTTGTAGCTCCTGGAATATACTATAACTAGCCAACACGTCCATGCTGCTGCTGCCGGGCAAAACGGGAGGCGAAACCCTCCCCCGAGCACAGTTGGGTCTGTTTGTTTGTCAGTCTGTCTGGCTCACCCCCCAAGAAGGCAGACATCCAGTGGCCCTTTTGTTTTGTTTTGTTTCAGTCAACTAAAAAGGAAAAAAAAAATCAATGCAGGAGAGGGAGAGAGGAGGTGAGAGAGGAGAGCGTGAGTGGGGTGGATGGAGAGAGGCATCCAGCGTGTACAGTGCAGACGACTGCCAGGAAAAGGGGACTTCTCCACGGGAGTAACAATTCCCTTCCAGGGCTCTAATCACTCCAGCTCGGGGATCAGGAAGGGGGATGCAAACTCACTGACACGAAGCTGCCATCTATTTCTGCAGAGCTGTTCGCTCCTAATGCAATCTTTGCTCTTTATTTTGGGAGGTTGCATTTTTTTTTTCTCGCGATCGCTTCTCTCTCCCCCCTTCTCTTCCCTCCCCACCCCCCACCCCATCCTTGCTAGTTTGTAGTTCCCCCTCCTTTTCTCCTCCTCCTACTCTTCCCCCTCCCCGAACTCCCTCCCCCCGCCCAGCTCTCCGCGCAGCCGTGGGATCTCGGAGCAGGGCGTCCATTAGACCGCGTGTGACCATGTAAGGTAAACGGGGGGCTCATGAAGTCACTCAGGACCAATGGCGAGCGCAAAGCGGGGCCCGGGGCGGGGCTTGGCCCTGGCGGCCGGCGCGGATTGGCGCGCGGCGGATCTCCCTGCTGCCTTACAAGGCGGTGCGAGGCGAGCTATTTTTAGAGGGCTATATAAGGGGGCTGAGGCGGCCGCGCGGCGGCTGGGGAGCACGAGAGCGAGCGCGAGGGACGGGGAGGGCAGCGGCGACACTCGCGCCGGCTCCTGGGACGCCGGGGCGGCAGGGCTCGGGCCGCACGCTGGCCTCCGACCCTCCCTTTGGTGCCCGGCGGAGCCCCGCGCGTCCGGAACCCTCGTCCCTCGGAGGGGAGGGGTCGCGTGTCGCCGCGGTGGCGTGGACGCGGCCGGTCAGGAGGTGACAGTCCAGGGTGCAGGGTTAGGATGCCTCCTGGAGGAGGAACGGCACGGGAGAGCCGCGGAGACGCCGTCGGGGCGGGGGCAGGCTAGGAATGACACTTTCCACTCCGCCCCCCGCCTGGGCAGGGGCAGGGAACGCGCGCTGCAAGGCAAAGGTCCTCACGTACAAAGAATAACCAGAACAGCAACAAAAAGCCACCAAAAACCCCTTCACGAATTCCCCACGGGCTGCCAGGGCGCAGAGAGGAAGCGGCAGAGGAGGAAGAGCCACACAATGGGAGAGAACAAAGGGGAACGGCGCGCGGAGAACGGCTTGCGCCCGCCCCGCGCCGCGCCAGGCCCCGCCCCGCTGGCGCCGCCCCCGCGCGTTCCCGCCGCCCGGAGCACGGGCCGGGCTGGGGTCAGGCACCCAGATGGGGTCGCTTGCGCAGTTCTCAGTGCTCCAATGTGTGTTAAAGACAGTGGAGGGCACCCAAGTAGACGTGGAGTGCAGGCTGGAGCCGGCAGCTTGCCAGGGGGCCTTTACGTGGGTCTCATCATGTGGCCTCCAGCGATGTGTCTGTGCAGGGCTGCGACTGTGAGAGAGGAACCCTATTGTTTTCTGGAGCTGGGTTATAGAGATAGTAGGTAGAGGTCTGTTATCTCTGAGATGAAAAGCCCCGCACGACGCACATTGTTAGGCTTGACCAATTGTTTGCTTGACCTTAAATGGTTAGTGTGGTTCAAGCTTCCCCAAAATACACTGTGGGCTGAGCTTCTACTTTTGGAATGATTGCAGAATCCGGTACTTAGTCAGACACGAGAAACTTTGTCCTACCAGTAATGGAAGAAACACATCCATCTTAATCGCCCTCCCTCGCCTTTCCCTCCCTTTGACTATGTGGGACTTGATATCACAGTATTTGAAAGATTCTGTCTTATAAAACAAGCACAACTTGAAATTCAGTATTTGCTGGGGGAAATTAAATGGGAATTACTGGGATTGAGAAAAGTCTGGTTTATTTACTTGTTAGTGTCTGGGATTCTGTTAGTCAGATTCATGGCTTTCACTGTATAATTGGTGCGTTTCCTATATGTAGATACATGAAATGGGCAAGGATGCAGCCACTTAACTAGCTGCGTGACTTTGAGCAAATTGCTGGGTCAGAGCCCGTGCGTACACATCTCAGAAACAGGAATAGTGATATCTGACTTGTCTAGTTGGTAAGAAGAATCAAAATAATGTTTTTAACTCCCCTGGCATAGTATCAGGCACTATTAGCGGAATACGAAATGTTAGCTATCATTTTCTCAAGACTTTAGCTAAGTAAACTGATACCTAAACTAATGGGGCCCATAAGGGAATATACTAGAATCCTGGAGATGGAGTGGAGGTAGAGACCCCTTGCTAATTTGTTATAATGTCTCCCTTTTCCCACCCCTCCATTCTATTCCCATGGGGGGTGGGGGTGATGTGCAGAAGCCATTGAGAAACACTAGGACAGAAAACATGTTCATGAGTAAAGGGAAGGAAAGGAACTTGAATATAGGAAACTACAGAGGCGAAAAGCAAGGCAAGACCAAACCATATAATTTGTTGTTTGAAATTCAAGTGAACTTACTTTTTGTTTTTGTGTTACACTAGAACCACTTTTGAACAAAATGACATATATGTTAACTTTTGAGTTTGAAGATTTTATAAGTAATAGTTATCATTTATTAAGTGTTTACAATGTGCTGTATGTACATATAAATATTTTATATGCAATGTCTCATTTAATCCTAAGGACAGCCCCAAGGTAGGTACTTTTATTATCCCCAACTTTATGGATGAAGATACCCAGGCTTAGAGATATCAAGGGAGTTGGTTAAAGTCACACAGCCAGGAAGTGGCCAAGCAGGAGTTCAAATCCAGGAGTATCTGACTCCCAAGACTACTCTGCCATAGGCTCTGCATGGTGAAAGACTGAGTTTCTTGGGCTTTAGTCAAGATGTGTTTATAAAAATTACTGGAGTAGGGCTAGAGGTACTTCCATTGAGACTTTCCCTATTTAACTATCAGCTGTCCAACTTACAAATAATTCAACCTAAATTTTACAAAATAAATCTTGCAAATCTCATGATCTTGTTTCCAAGCTTTGTAGAATATTTTAGATTCATTCTAAGAGATTTATGCAGCCCTCCAACTTACAAATAATTCAACCTAAATTTTACAAAGTAAATCTTGCAAATCTCATGATCTTTTTTCAAAGCTTTGTAGAATATTTTAGATTCATTCTAAGAGATTTATGCAACAAGACATTCCAAAAGGTACATTTTCAATATGTCATATTTAGCTACTTTTTATAGTCTAGAGACCCTAGGTTCACATTGCAAAACACATGCAAAGTATCCAAATGTACAAAATAATCAAATTAAGATCACAGGGGAACTTTGGCAGTTCAGCACACCAAAAACAAACAGCATTGTTGTAACTACCATTTATTGACTACCTTCCTCATACCTGGCATTTTACACATATTCGCATCTGATCTTCACTGCAATCCTGTGAGGGAGCTTAGTGCTCCATTTTTACAGGTGAAGATACTAAAGTTCAGAGAAAGCACCTAATTTGCTCATTACCATGTGTCTGTTAAGTGGTAAAAGCAGATTCAAATACAGGTCTGCCTTCAAGCTGACTCCAAAATGTTTCTTCTCTACAAGCATTGCCTTGGGAGACAATGATCTTACTTCTAATAATACCACCCTTTGGAAGTAATCCTACAGAAAACACCAAGAGTAAATAATAACTTACCCCCCCCCAACTTACAAATGAATGACGATATTAATATTTTAAGAATAAAATATTAATAGTAAAAATTTAGTATGTAAATGAACACAATCAAGGCATCAGACTGTTACCACCAGAAAAGTTCTGCTTCATTAGTATAGGAAGTTCTTATTATCCCAGTGTGATTAGCACAAGTAAAGGCTCCTCAAAGTAAATCTACTCACACAGGGACCAAATTTCAAAGCAATAAGTGAAGAAAGGTTTGCTTGGGACTTTATTTGAAAATAAAACTCAATGTTATTAAAACACATTTATGCTATACTATACAAGTATGCCTTGTTTTACTGTGTTTTGCATATAAATTACATTTTTTACAAATTGAAGGTTTGTGGCAACCCTCTTTCAAACAAGTCTAACAGTGCTATTTTCCCAATAACATGTGCTCACTTCATGTCTCTATGTCACATTTTGGCAATTCTCTCAATATTTCAAACTTTTTCATCATTACATCTGTATGGTGATCTGTGATCAGTGATCTCTAGTGTTTCTGCTGTAGTTATTTTGGGGCACCACGAAGTGTGCCCAAATAAGACAAGAAACTTAGTAAATGTTGCATGTGTTCTGATTGCTCGACCGACCTGCCGTTCCTACATCTCTCCCTCTCCTCAGGCCTCCCTAGTCCCTGAGACACAATAATATTGAAATTAGGCCAATGAACAACACTACAATGGCCTCTAAGTGTTCAAGTGAAAGGAAGAGTGACACATCTCTCACTTTAAATAAAAATCTAAAACTGATTAAGCTTAGTGAAGGAGGCATGTCAAAAACCAGGATAGGCCAAAATCTAGGTCTCTTGCACTAGTTAGCCAAGTTGTGAATGTAAAGGAAAAATCCTTGAAAGAAATTAAAAATGGTACTCCAATGAACACACAATGAGAAGAAAGCAAAACAGCCTTATCGCTGATATGGAGAAAGTTTTAGTGGTCTGGATAGAAGATCAAACTGTCCACAATGTTCTCTTAAACCAAAATCTAATCCAGAGCAAGGTCCTAACTCTCTTCAATTTTATGAAGGCTGAGAGAGGTAGGAGGCTGCAGAAGAAAAGTTTGAAGGTAGCAGAGGTTGGTTCATGAGGTATGAGGAAAGAAGCCATGTCTATAACATAAAAATGCAAGGTAAAGCAGCAAGTGCTCATGTAGAAGCTGCAGCAAGCTATACAGAAGATCTAGCTAAGGTAATTGATGAAGGTGGCTATACTAAACAAGAGATTATCAATGTAGGTGAAATTGCCTTCTATTGGAAGAAGATGCTATCTAGAACTTTTATAGCTAGAGAGGAGAAGCCAATGCCTGGCTTCAAAACTTCAAAGGACAGGTCAACTTTCTCATTAGGGGCTATTGCAGTGGGTGACTTTAAGTGGAAGCCGATTTTAAAAGTCCTAGAGCCCTTAAAAATTATACAACATCTACTCTGCCTGTGTCCTATAAATGGAAAAACAAAGCCTAAATGACAGCACATCTGTTTACAACAGGGTTTACTGAATATTTAAAGCTTGATGTTGAGACCTACTACTCAGAAAAAAAAAGAGATTCCTTTCAAAATATTACTGCTTGTCGACAATGCACCTAGTCACCCAAGAGTTCTGGGGATGTTGTTTTCATGACTGCTAAC